ATAGAGACATTTAATGCCAAACAGGTGTATTTGGTAGCTAGAATGGATGCAATGATCCAAATCATCTCATCTCACACCCATAAATGGTGTTCCACAGAGATGTTGCTGAGATGTGTTAATGTGTAACAGCTGCGTGGAAGATCATCAAGACCTGGCTGCCCCCAGAGTTGGTGGAGAGAACCAAGTTTGTGAACAAAGTCTCCATCCAGGAGTACATTGACAAAGACTGCCTGACTGAACACATGGGTGGAACCGTAAGTATTGTTGTTTCTTATCCCCTTGTGCAAAGATTACACGAATTCCATGAGTTCATGCTCCTCGAGCTGTTTTATGATAAGCAGTGGCCTCTCCCAAAGGTCCTGTTTAGTGCATCTAATGCAAGCCAAAATGTATTCTGGAGCTGCAGGTGCCAAGCTACATTTTGGGCAAGTGGGGTAGATTTTGTTATTATTTCTATCTTCAATGGCTTGAGATGGCCTGTTCTAAATCTTGTTAGTGTTATTTGATGCTGTCTATTTCTGATTCAGAGATCCTCCTGGGTTCACTCCACTGTACCAACTATGCTTAGGTGGGATCCTCCAGTTCTTGTTTATTTTTGTTTTGGCTACTGTTTCTATTTCTTTAAAAGTAAGTTTTTTTTTTCTGTGGCAAGGGTTATTTTGTGCCTGTAAGTATTGTACATTGTCTAGGTGTGTTTCCTATGGATTTTTTTTTTTATAAGTGAATTTTTTGGTACAATTTGGATTATAAAGCACAATAACAACGCTGTTACAAAAATTTTGCATACTATTTATTTGAATTTGGTCTTATTACCATGTAATTTTTTAAAATTATTCCTAGTACATGTGGTACAGGCCATGATAATCATGGTTGGTAGAAGTTGGCAACTGCTTTTACTGTAAGTGCACCACATGTCTACACATGTGAAAAGCAGTTCGATTTTGCATTTGCAAATATGCAGAGCCCCGTTTGGTTACTTTCACACGCTGGTGGGGTTGGAATTTTGCAAGGATCGGGGGGCCATTGGAGCATTTTTTTTTTAATTAGAAAAAAGTGCCCAATGATTTGATCCCAGGTCGTAGTGGTCGAAAACCAACAGTTCAGACCACCCTTCCACCAACCCCCCGCCTTGTAAATATCATATTTGTTTATGATTCCAGACAATTTGTGCTATGCCTGTCCCAGTTACCAATGAATATGTTGATATGGTGAAAGTTTTCCTAGACAATATGTATATTTCATAAATAGAATGGCAATGTGTGTGTTGAAGAGATAAATAGAATCACTTAAGTTTAGTGGTGTTTTAAGCCAGTTCCCAGCCAGATATAACCTGGAGTTTTGCTAGAACTTTCCAGTATGTTTGGGTAGAGGACAATCAACAAACACTTGTTTCTTCCTCTTTCCTAAAGGTTGTTTTGATCCCTCACGTGGGGGTTTGAAAGGTAAACAGGTGTTTTGTACAACTTACTTTGTCTACCGGGATGGGTGGACTTAATTGTTGTTGTTTCTTATCCCTTTGAGTGAAGATTACATGAATTCCATGAGTTCATGCTCCTCCGGCCCATTAGCTCAGTTGGTTAGAGCATCGTGCTGATAACGTGGGTTCGATCTCCCCATGGGCCATTTTTAAGGGATCGGTGGAAGGATGGTCTAAACCGTTGGTTTTTGACTGCTACGACCCAGGTTCAATCCCTGCATTGGGCACTTTTTCTGATTTAAAAAAAAAAAATGCCCCAATGGCCCCCGATTCTTGTAAAAGTCCAACCCCACCAGGGAGTGAAAGTAACCAAATGGGGTTCTGGCACATTTATAAGTGCAAAGTCGAACTGCTTTTCACATGTGTAGACATGTTGTGCACTTACAGTAAAAGAGGTCGCCTTCTTCTACCCACCATGATTATCATAGCCTGTATCACATGTACTAGGGATAAGTGAAAAAAAAAAAACTCTTCGAGCCTCATGGAATGGGGTGTAGGAGTGCAGCTTTCTTTGATCATGGCACCATGATCCAGGCACACTTGAACTCGACTCTAGACAGCTCCACTTCAATACCCAATTTGTAGAAGCATTTTTTTTTTCAAAACAATAAATTTTAATTCTGCATTGTAACCCCTGATTCTTGTACAAGCAACCACACCTGTGAATGCAAGTAGCCAAGCATGACTCTTATAAGTGCAAAAGTCAAACCTCTACATGTGAAGGCATGTGATGTGGTGTACTTTAAAGTACAATCAGTCACACATTCTCTTCTCACATGAATATCATGGTCTGTATGCTTGTGTACCTCTGATCAGCAAATAAGTTTTTATTTTTTAAAATGTTTTTTGATGTATTTTTTTCAAAAAATTGAAAATCTTGTTGGTAGCTTCATTGTCATTCTAACCAAGGGAAGTGTAGTTTAGGATCCTGGTCTCTTATTACATGTACTGAAGTATGCTGGAAGGATTTGTTGGTTTACACAGCAACTTCCATCATTAAAGGTGACCAAGACACAGTGGGTGGAAAATTTCTTTCCCTTTCTCTACAAGAACCTTCCAACCAGCAAAATAATGTTTGCATACACTAAATGTGTAAGAAAATAAGGCCAAATCCAAGTGGATTTGGTGTTATTTCTTGTAGTTATAATCAATAATCCAAATTGTGCCTTATCATAAATGTGCAAGACAATTTTTAATTAAGGAACTTAATATTTTGTATACCATTTTGTATTTTTTAAAAATTATTTTTTAAAGTCTTAAACAATTCAAAAAGACTGCCTAAAGAAGATAAATGAATCAGAATTGAATCGTGGGACCCATATTGATTATGCTACATGTTGTATCTTGGGTTTGTTCCAAAGACCCCGTTAAAGATTAAATTTTAAGAACAGAAAAAAAAAGGATAGGAAAAAACAAGCTGATATAGTACATTGGTAAGATTACTGACATCAATTTGTATGGCTCTTTTATTTCTCCTACATTCTGTTTTCTTGGGTTGTCATTCTGTGCTGCTGGAAGAGTAAGGTGTGTGTGAAGTGTGATTTCAAAAGAGGTAAGAGAAAAATAGATTTAAAAAAACAGCAAGTTGCACTAATAAAATATGCCAGCTAATAAAATAATTTTAAATTAATACAATAAAAAAACCTCCATGAGAGGACACTCATGCTAGAGGACACCTCTCTATAAAGGACAGTTTCTATCGCCAAAATTACCATTTTTACTAATCAGCAACTCTCCAGTAAGAGGACATCTCTCCCTTAAGAACACTTTGGCTCTGCAATTATATATCTTTTACAAGTAAGTTCTACTGTGCCAGGTTGTTAAAATGTAACAACCTCAATGAGTATATTTAGAAAAAAAATATATATATATGATAAGTAATTTATATGTAATGTTTCTCTGGAACTATGTTTTTTGGATTTAGTCTTAATGTCTTGTTGTTCTTTTCTATACCCCACAATTGACCTAGTTTATTTAACTAGTTAGGTGTTATCTTTTGACTGTGTTTCTTCTGACAAGGGCCATTAGCCCAAAACCATGGTCACTTCTCATGGGTCATGGTGGACACTTCTCAGTTTGCCAAAGCTGGTGTTGTTGTGGCTTTGTCACCGACCCAAAGCCGCTAGCTTGCAGGAACGGTCAATAGATGGCATTTAGTTTTGATGTTTATTTTGATGGGAGAGATGCCCTGTGCTTTTGTAGATATATTGACCCCATTTCATGTGTAAGACTAGATGAAGGAAGCTACTCATTTTAATAGCCTCTCTCATAACAGCAATTTGGGTTTAACATCATAATCCTAAAGTCCCAAGTTTTAATTGTTTCAACCATATTTGAGCACCATGCACTTGTGGACAAAACTTAAAGAAGTGGAAAGCTTTAATGCCTCTGGTTGACTATTTTTTGAAGGAGACAGAGGCAATTTGTTCACGTATGGTAATCACATGTGTCTTCCTTCAATAAAAGTCACTATGTATTAAATATCTTTCAGAGTTATTGTCTGAATCACGATGTACATGCTAAAAGACACAACTTCTTTAAGTTTGTTTATTCATGAGTGTAAAAGCATGGTCCTCACTATACATGAAAGGTGTATTGAATGTATCTTTGATAAGGTACAATTTGGATTATAGATTATAAACACAAAGGTAATAAGACCAAATCCAAATAAATAAATAGTGTGTGACGTTTCAGTAACAGCATTGTTACCATCTTCAGACAAAAGTACTGAATGAGAAATTTTACCACAGCATGTTTTAAATAGTTGTTTACACACTTGATAACAGTAACTATTTAAAACATGCTGTAGTAAAATTTCTCATTCAGTACTTTTGTCTGAAGATGGTAACAACACTGTTACCAAAACGTCACACACTATTTATTTATTTGGATTTTGTCTTATTATCTTGTGTGTGAATGTATCTTATTTGTACAAACTGTTCATGTCAATACCTTTATAGCTGATGAAGGAATGGTGTGTGATTGCAGGTGAGATTCACAGAGACCCCCAACATGCTGAACTACAAGTTTGAGGATAAAGTAGGTACCGTTCAAGCATGACTGCCATGACACTACTAACCCTCTGTTTACATATCTTCTTTCTTCAACTCTCTATGTCACCAGAGTATTTCTATATTTTGTAGCTTTATTGACAATTTTTTTTTTTGCCTTTTTTTATAAGCGTTATATATATTTATGCTATTTTTTTTTTATTTTTTAAAGATTTTTTTTTTTTTGTTGTTTTTTTTCTGTGAAACAAATTTTTTTTTTCTTATAGTCTCGGAACAAATGTACATAGTCCCTTTATACGTGCCATTATTCCTACTTGACTGTTATAGATATTAGTGTATGCCAAAGCAGCTATTAACATGGTAGCTTGTTTGTTTGGAGGTTACCTTAGTTATCCCCTTACAATACCTGGATCTAGTCGGCACTCAATAAAATAATACTTATATTGCATGCTTCTTCACCTAACTTTCTAGTCACTAGTCTTTTAGTCTTAGAGTATACTAACACTATACTACTCTATTATCTTATTATACTAAAATCTAGCCCTTACTACAGCTACAAATTAAAAGGTTGTATCAGCCCATTGACATCTCTACTCTCAAGATTTTTTTCAAGGTGAAAAGACCAAATAATTAAATTCTATGTAATGTTTCAGATGTTGTTGCCATCTCAGGAAAAATACACTCATGGACAACACTTAAGGAAGTTGTACCTTTTAGCATATATATCAGGATTCAGACAATAACTCTAAAAGATATTTGATACACAGTAACCTTTATTGAAGACGTGAGATAACCAAGTGTGAACAAAATTGCCTATATCTTCTTCAAAAAAATAGTCAACTGGTGACATCAAATATTTTCCACTTCCTTAAATTTTGTCCATAAGTATACTTCATTCAATACTTTTGTCTGAAAAAGGTAGCATCACTGTCATTGAAAATGCCCCATATAATTTAGTTATTTGGTCATTTTCACCTTGTCTTTCTATTCGACTAATTTCTATTACACTTCATCACAGCTCTATTGTGATATGGCGGTAACATATGGAGATCCGAGTTAAAAATTACAAGGTATAATAAAACACATGATAATAAGACCAAATCCAAATAAATAAATAGTGTGCGATGTTTCTGTAACACCGTTGTTACTGAAATGTCACACATTATTTATTTATTTAGTCTTATTACCATGTTTTTATAATCTATAATCCAAATTGTGCCTTATATCAGGGTATAATAAGACTAAATCCACAAATGAGAAATTTATATTCAATATTACCATTTCTCTAGTAATTTTGTCAGAAGTTGACAACAAACCTGTTAGTCAAATGTCACATATAAATTTTATTATATGGTTAGCTTTTCTTCTTAATTATGGGAGAAATCTAATTAGAAATGCAAACATATTACTCCAATTACCAGTGGTTCCAATTAACAAATGTAATATTTTAAAAATTACATCTCACAAATGTGCCCATTAATGATCCAAATAGTTGGTAATTAGGGGCTATACCTTCACTTTTGAACATATTTTTTTGGTGTAACTTATCCCAAGTACATCTCAGGGTGGGTAGGTAGTGACTGCCTTTTTTGTCGGTGGAAGGATAGTCTAAACCGTTGGTTTTCGACTGCAATGACCTGGGTTCGATTCCCGCATTGGGCACTTTTTTCTGATAAAAAAAAAAAAATGCTCCATGATTCTTGAAAAAGTCCAACCCCACCAGCGAGTGCAAGTAATCAAACAGGGCTCTGGCATATTTGTAAGTGCAAATATCGAACTGCTTTTCACATGTGTAGACATGTGGTGCGCTTACAGTAAAAGCAGTCGCCTACTTCTACCCACCATGATTATCATGGCCTGTACCACGTGTGATAAGCAAAAAAAAAAGTTTTCCCTTTCAAAGTGTACCACTGCCCTGTTAGGTTACTTGTACTCACTGGTAGAAGGGACTTGAGCAAGAATCTGGGGCCATTGAAGCACAAAAGTTTCCAATGTGGTGTTTGAAAATCTACAATGTGTATATTCCTCCACACCAACCAGCACCCTAATCTATTGTGTCTGTGTTTGTAGTAGGCCAATTTAAGTTTTAATTTAGGTTAAGTTTGGTAGAGTTAGGTGTGGAGTGAATAAATTAAGGACATTGAATCCTAGACAGCAGGGATCCTTGAAGTTCCCTACATCTTCCTTCTATTACTCAAATGCTATACAAACTTGAG